AATAGCCAGCTCTGCCTTGGATGTTGACCTTGGCAGGGAGCACACACAGGGCAGGGCTCCTCCTCTGCTCATTGGCGTCAGAGGAGAAACCAGCCTTTATTCCCTTTGAAGTCCCAGAGACTGAAAATGTCTCTGCAGATAGTAGATATTATTCTGCTTTTCACAGAATGACAGAATATTGGGGTTGGAAGGGACCTCCCAATCCACCTGGAACAAGTGACACAGGAATGTGTCCAGGTGGGTTTGGAATGTCTCCAGAGAGGGAGACTCCACACCCTCCCTGGGCAGCTGTTCCAGGGCTCTGCCACTTCCACGGAAAGAAGTTCTGCCTCATGTTGAGGTGGAACTTCTTCTGTTTTAGTTTGTGCCCGCTACTCCTCGTCCTGTCTCTTGGCACCACTGAAGAGAGCCTGGCACCATCCTCTGACAGCTCTTGGAGATGTTGGTATGGATTGATGAGATCCCCTCTCAGCCTTCTCTTCTCCAGACTAACCAGGCCCAGCTCCTGCAGTCTCTCCTCATCAGAGAGGTGCTCCAGACCCCTCATCATCTTTGTGGCCTCCACTGGACCCTCTCCAGCAGCTCCTTGTCTTTCTTGAACTGTGGAGCCCAGAGGTGGACACAACACTCCAGATGTTCCTCCCCAGGGCCGAGCAGAGGGGCAGGATCCCCTCCCTGACCTGCTGGCAACGCTTTTCCCGATGCACCCCAGGATCCCACTGGCCCTCCTCCAGCTCATGGTCAACTTGCCATCCACCAGGACCCTCAGGTCCTTCTCCACAAAGTTGCTCTCCGTAGCTGATTCCCAACCTCTGCTGAGACTGGTTTCTTCCCTTTCCTGGAGCTCTTCGGGCCACCCTGCTTTTGATGTCTTGGAAAACAAGAACTCTGGGACTCCACTCGAGTTAATTCCTGGTAAATACAGAGCCAGCAAAGGTGCTGTTTGACCGGAGTGGCTGCATTTGCTATTTCGAGCTTAACAACTCCATGTTTGTTTGTAAAGGGCTGAGCTTTTACCAATCAATAACCACAAGGTATCAATTGATCCCCACAGGCAGCGAAACAGCCCCTCTCCTGCCTGTGGAAGCGTTGCCTGAGGACCACCTGTGCTCATCCCTGCTCTTACCTGGTCCTTCCCCATCAATGTGGTCCCCTCTGGTCCAAAAACCAGCAGTTTAGCAAACATGGGATCTACCTTGGGAGTGATGCAACCTCAGTTTGACAGACAAGGACACGGGGAGCACAAAAAAAGCAGCTCGTCCAAGGTAATTTGTTGGCTCAGGGAATCTCCAAAAATAGAACTGGTTACTCCTGCCACTTCAGTTAACCTTTGGGCTGCGCTCCTGGATCTTTCCTTGGTTCACTGGGAATAATGTGCCCCCAGTCAGGTGCTGGCTGAGGACCAGGAGTCTGAATTTTACAGATTTCACCAACTTTCAGGCTGCTGTTCGTACTTTTGCCCTTCAAAATGAATTTGCCATCTGAATTGAAACAGAGCCACAAAAGGGATTTGTGCTGATAACACCAAGGTGTTTGATCCCCATATGGGTCATTTAATTAAAAGTTGAACTCGATGATCCTTGTAGGTCCAACTTAGAATATTCTGTGTTTCTGGAGAGGCTGCAGAGAGGAGGAGAGGAGAGAGGGGAACACAGAGGAGCTGCCAGGGAAGGCTCAGACTGCAGGAGATGGCAAACAGCCGACCCAGCAAGAACTCAGAGGTGCTGGGGCTTCCTTGGAATCACCATCTCACTGTGCTCATGCTGTTTTATAGCTGCAATATCCCCAGCCCTGCTCTGTCCTCTGGACCTGCATCTGCTCCAGCTGCAGCCCTGACCTTCTGGCAGGAGCTTCCCTAATTACATATTCCTTAGGTTTGCTCATCAGCTGAATGGCTTGAACCCTCCCCACCCCTCGTGAAGGGAGAAGGGGGGAAAGAAGAATTTGCAGGAAAAAAACCCAATGTTTAAGAATTCTTGGTCTGCACCAGCAAAACAGCAGCAATAACTCATTTGAGGGATACAGCTGTTTTCCCAAGAGGATAAACAAAATCGTGGCTTTTCCCCAGTTTTGTCAGCCAGAAATGACTGAGAACAGTTAGCTAATCCTCCTGATCATAACCATTAAAAATAAATATCAATAATATATATTAATATATGTTATAAATGTATAAATATATAAAAAAATAAATATGTGTTGTTGGGCTCCAGTTTAAATAATCAGGACCCAGGAAGGGCAGGAGATGGCAGAGCTGCCCCCAGAGCACAGGTTCTTCCCCAGGTCTACTTCCCCAGGTGTCCTGCTGCCACCATGGCCAGAACTTGTGCCTGTGGTGTTGTTCAGCAGTTCCAGCCCTGTCCTTCCTTTGTGCTGATTGGAAAACAACAGTGTGGGGCTGGTTTGTTTGGGGCTGTGCTCTGCCAGCCTCTACACTGCTCCCTCCTGGAGCGAAGTACAGCTGTATCCCTAATCCTGAAAGTCAAGGGGTCAACCTGGAGTCCCCCCTGGAGCTTTCTGCCAGAGGTTCCAGGTAAGGCCATTCCCCCAACTGTGATTAGAGCACATTTTCTATATCTTGCCCTGTCAGGGGTGGCCCCAGAGCTTCTGTGTGAACCATCTTCTGCTTCATTTGGTCAAAGGCTTGTTGTAGCTCAGGGCCACCTTTGAAAATAGTTGTTCTTCACAGGATCACAGGAGCCTTAGGCTGGAAAGGACCTTTCAGATGGTCAACCCAGCACTGCTGTGATCACCACTAAACCCTGTTCCCAAGTGCCACATCCATGTTTTTTTAACATCTCCAGGGATGGTGACTCCACCACTGCCCTGGGCAGCCTCTGCCAATGCTTTACAAGCCTTTTGATGAAGAAATTTTCCCTACTATCCAATCAGAAAACCACCTTTCAGAGGGATTTGGACTATTTCCTTCGCTTTCCCAAAACCCTCTGCCGCGCTCCCGCACACCATGAGCGCGCTGCGGGCGTTGCAGAGCTCCCCCCCGTCCGGCACAGCGCGGATCGGTGAGCAGGGCTGTGTTTGCACCCCGGGACAGGCCATTCCCGGTGTCCTGGTCACGCCTGTCCCCGTTCGCCACCGGAGCATCGACCGCGGGTAACCCCGAGGGGGCGGGGCCTCACTGTAATCGACAACTGCTTCATCCAATAGAGCGGCGATGCGCACCTCTCCAGCGGGGGTGTGGCCTCGATGTGACTGACAGCCCCCTTGAACCAATAGCGCAGCTGTGCGCCCGGTAAGGGCGGGACCTCGCCATAACTGACAGCGGCTTCGCCCAATGGCACCTTCCGAGCAAGGCCGTGGGCGGGGCGGGGCTGGTTTAAAGGGGCCCCGCCCGGCGCGCGCGCCGCCTCACGAGCTGCTGCCGCGCGCGCGCGCGCGCTCCCGCCGGGCCCTGAGGTAACGCGCGGTCCTAAAGCCCGACCGCCGTCCTAAAGCCCGCGCCGGGGCTGCAGGGAGGGGGCAGCGGGATAGGTGTGTCTGTGTATCTGTGTATGATGGCTCCCCACGGCTCTCTGGGTGTCCTCAGCGGGGCTCGGTGCGGGTGGGATGCGTGACCCGAGCCCACCCGTGGCGGGGGTTTGGCCGTGGGATTCACCTTTCTTGTGTCGGCTGCTCCTAATGTCCCTTCGCGGGTGTGTGTCTGGGGAGTGGGGGTGAAGTTTTTTTGAGGATTTTTGGTTAAATAAGCCCAGGGCGGGTTGGGGGTAACCCCCCACTCGGGTTGGGGGTAACCTTGTGGGCTGAGGCAATGGGTGGTCCGAGGAGAAGGTCTGTCCCTTCCACATGTCACCTGTGCCCATCGAGGGAATATGAGCTGACCTGGGCACTTGGGGGTGTTCTGTGGGGTGATCTGAGCACTTGGAGGTGCTCCATGCACTGACTTGGGCACTTGGAGATGGTCCATGAGGTGACCTGAGCACTCAGTGATGCTCTGTGAGGTGATCTGAGTGCTTGAGGATGCTTCTTAAGGTGACCTGGGTGCTTGGGGATGCTCCATGCGGTGACCTGAGTGCTTGGGATGCTCTTGCGCTGGCTCCCAGCCCTCCTGAGCTTCCAGCAGATATAATGCCATGTGTGGCAGTGGCAGAAACACAGCCGATGCATCCCTGGAAACACTTCCCTGTGCTTTCCTACATCCCTGTGCTCTCGTCCTCCTCTAGAGGGGAATTCCCACCCGCTGTGCAGATGGTGCAGTAAAGCAAACAGCTCTGTAGGAAAGAGGAACTCGGAGCAGCCTCCTGGTGAGTCACATTGCTGTGGAACCCACCTGAAACACCCCGGGGTCCTGGAGAAGCAATCTGCACGGAACTGAGAGTTCTGTGCTTGTCTGGGTGGCTGAGGAACAGTTCTGGTGCCATCAGTGCCCTGCCCTGGGTCTGTAGGCAGCTCCCTTCAGCCAAAGCTCAGCTCTGAAGGTGCTGTGGTGGAGTCAAGCGTCTGTGTGCAGTCCTGACAGTCACTCATCATCCTCAGAGAGCTTGGAGTTACTTTTCCTCGTGCTCCCTCCTCTCCAGCATCAGGTAATTCCCCAGCACGACCAGTGGTACTGCTGAAGACAAAACCTTTAGTGCTCAGGAAGTTTTTGTGGCTGCCCTTGCTAAAAATGGAGTTTATCTAAAAGAGGAAGAGTGGGTTGCTCAGCTTCTGTTTCCTCACTTAATAAATCTTGAAAGGAGACAAAGGAGCAAAAAGGACTAGGTTGGAGATGTGGAAAGGCAGCAAGATAAGGTGGCAGTTGCCTAAAACTGCTCTGGGCAGTGAAGTCTTGAGCGGGGTGGATGTGGTGTCTGTACCAGTTAGAAGAAATCAGCCACAGGAAACCGAGTGGGCTGTGCTGCAAAATGTCAAAGGCTGATAACACCCTCAGTAATTTGAATTTGAACTGATGTTGTTGAAGCTCTCTGTGCGTTTTAGGTAAAGGTGTGTTCAGAGCATGTTATAAATAAAACCTCTTCTCCTGCCAGGAGCTTGCACATTGTCAGGCATTTATTCAAGCTCTGCAGTGGTTTCAATAGAAACCATTCAACTTCCAGTTCTTCTGGGACACAGTGCTCCCTCAAAGCACAAAGTGTTTTGTATTTAAATGATTTAAGGAGTCACGCAGGTTTAATTAAAAGGGAGGTTTGTTGCCGCGGGTTTTTGTTTGGGTGTGTGTTCTCCACTTTCCTGAACGTCTGTGGGACATCACGATGTGTTGACCGCTGTGGGAACAATGGGGGGCTGTTGTGTGTCCAGGAGAGAATCATTCTGATCCCATCCTGGTGATCTGCCCCAGGGGTTACACCTGGCTCTGGTGAACCATGGAATGGTTTGGGTTGGAAGGGACCTTAAAGCTCACCCAGTTCCAACCCTGAAACACGTGTGTTTTCCGGTGGCTTGTATTTATAACTGAGCATCAAGGAGGGGAGGACCAAGCTGCAGAGCTGAGCAGAGCTAGGTATATTGGGAAATTTTTGTTTCTAACCTAAATTTGTTGTCTAAAATGCATGACTGGTTTGGGATCGCTGTGTTCACAAGGAAACCTGCACAACCAGGTGGCACTTCAGCTGTCTGTCCAAAGTCAAGTTGGATGGGCCTTGGAGCAACCTGGTCTGGTGGAAGGTGCCCCTGCCTATGACAGGGGATGGAATGAGATGAGTTTTAAGGTCCCTTCAACCCAAACCATTCTAGGATTCAATGATTCTGTGACAGCTGGAGTGAGAACACCGGTTTTCCCTTGAAAATCTGTTGCTGCATTAAAAGCACAGCTAGCCAGAGGAACACTGTAATTAGTGTGGAGGCCAAAGCTTCCTCCAGGGCCACAGGGGAGCCCTGAACCCCTTGTTGTGGGTGCTGGTGGGTGCAGAATTGCACAAGGGGGTCAGGCCCCGTGGGGTTTGTCCCTCCTGGGCTTGTGCTCGATTTCTCCTTGAGCAAGAGGGGCCGTGGTGGCACCGAGAAGTCTGGGATCCGTTGTGCTCTCCCACATGTGAGTTTGAGCTCCTCCGGGCTGGGAACTGCCCCAGGTTGGGCAGGTCTGTGCAGAGATAACCCCCCCGTCTTCTCACAGCTCATAACTCCCCCCAAATAAACTGCTCTGCTGTTTCAGCCTAGAACGGGGGTGTTGGGCAACATCTGCCGGTTATCTCGGCGCTTCAGAGCTGGGGTTTTTTTTTTTTGAGACATCCCTGTCTCAGCTGCCGGTGAATTAAACTATTCCTGGCGTGGCTGGAGCAGAGCGTGGCGTGAGCAGCGACGTGTCTTGCTCAGATGAGTAAGCGGAAAGGGGGACGTGCTTTCCAGGGCTCTGAGCTGTGCCTAGCGTGGCTTTTCCCTCCCGTCAGAGACTGCAGCGTGGCTGGCTCTGATTTATTAAAAGGGCTCTTTCCTTTCGCTCCTGTCGCTTGTCATTGATGCAAACGCGCTCCTCGCATCACCCGATTTAAACGCGTTTGTCTAATGCGGGTACAAAATAGCAGCCGAAAATCTACTTCTTAAAGAGATCAGGGATAATGAGATTCGTCTCCAATCAGCTTGAAATCCCTTGAAACAATTAAAGCTCAGCCTGGCAACTCATAAGCGTCAAAGGCTTCCGATGAATGGAAACCTTAAGTCGAATCAGCGTTTAAGAAAACACTTTTGTTTAGGTGATAAAATCCCCCGAGACGAAGTGCTAAAAGAACCGTAGGAGCCGCCAGAAAAATAGCTGCAAAACCACTCGTTTTTATGAGAACTTTTTAAATCTAGGGTGTCCAGGGCTGTGTCCCCGGAGAGGGACCCGAAATCCCCGGTGTGCCGGGGTTGAGGCGGGCGTGGGGCCAGAGCCTCCTTAAGAGGCGGCGGTGTGGGGTGACGAGCCGCTTCCAATTGCGAGGCAGCAGCACATGACATAAGATGCTCCAGATCTGCCTCCTGGGCGCTAGTTTAAAAATAAAGCCTATTCCACGTCGGGCTCGGCGCCGGTGCGGAGCGGAGGCTGCGGGACGGCGATGCGCTGTGAGGATGGAGCTCTGCGGGGTGGGGGTGGGGGCTGGGAGCCGAGCGGGAGCGTTTTGGGGCACAGGGAGTGTGAATTTAAATTGTCTGGCCCGTTGGGCTCTCTCAGAGCTGTGGGTGTCACGCTGGTTTTGGTGCAGGGTGAAGGTTTCAGCAGGTTTTTAAATTAACAGTGGTGGCGTCCGCTGTCAGAATTTACCGTGTTTCGTGCAGGCTCGAGTTATGCCTCTTTGGGGCTGCCTCTCTCGTGTAGCTGCATCGACTGAAGCCGATTTACCGTAGAATTTGGTTGTATTTTAATTGTTAAAACCTGTTTTCGCAGGGACAATGCTGTGTGAGTCAGAGGCACGGATGACACTCGCTGAACCAGTCCCCATGGCTTATTGTAATTCAGCTCCTGAAGGGAACTGTGAGGTGTCACTGAGTGATGTGCTGCTCAACTCTTCACCCAGGTGTGTCTAATTTAAGGTTTTATTTAATCTGTGTACATAGTTTGTATTCTAATCTTACTTAGATTAATTAAAATCATTTTGGAAGAGCCTCTGCAGGGGACAGCTCGTGTGTGGTGCCTACACTGATCTCCACCAAACTCCTCTAAGAGGCTACTTAGATTTACAGACTGAAGAGCAGATTAGTATTTAAGGGTCTATATCTCCCCACAGCATAATGGGATCTAGCTGAATAAAACCTCTTTACCTAAATTTTTTCAGGCTACACTGAATTACATGTCATAAGGGGGAGAAAAAAGATGACTTGATTGACTGTGAGAGAAATAGCTGGGGCTTTTTTGCTCATATTACTGGGTCATTTGCATGCTTTGATCATAAAAGCTGGTGGAGAAATGGTGCAGAACTATTGCTACTGAGGATTAATTTGTGCTGAAAAATGTTCTCGATAATGAGGAGGGAACATCTCATAATCCCTTTGGGGGAAATAAAAAAACATTATTTACTCAGCTCTGGTTGTTGGCTTGGAGACTAGTTCAGGGAAGCAGTTCTGCTTTTGGACAGTACATGGGATCAGCCATGTCAGGTCTTCTCTGTGCCTTAAATCTTATATTCCCGAAGCGGTAACAGTTGACTATTTCCTAGAAAATCAGAGCAAGCATAAGCCAGAGGGAAGGAATTTCCCCCTTACACTGAAATTCTCATAGTGGCTGTGCTGACTTGCCTTGTCTCTGATCTGGTAGAAAGGGAATAAAATGTGGGGTTCGGTGGAAGCCCTGCCTGGATTAGCCTGAGGAATTTGTGTGGGAGCAGAGGAGCTCCCACCTGTCTGCTCCTTTTTGCCCCAGAGCTGTCCTACAGAGTTTTGGGGTTATTGTGATGTCAGGGCCCGGCAGCCCTTCCAGAACACCCTGGAGCTGGGGCTACAACCAAATGTTGTCATGGGGAAGAGCAAACACCGAGCACTGGCCTGGTGAAACACCTTCGTGATGGCCTGAAGAAAAGGGCCTTGGTAGGGCAAGGCAAGATGGAAATTTTGGGTCTCTGAAGTATAATCTTGGGTCAGCTAGAACTTGGATTTAGGGCTATGCTGATGGTCCAGGCAGGGTATTGCCCAGGGCAGGGGAACAAGCATCAGCTGCCTGGTTGGAGGGTGGGCTGTCCTTCTAGGGACCAAATCCCAAATCTCACAGGGTCTGGCTTCCAGCTCATGGTCTCAAGTGGCACATGCAACTTGATTATGCCATATCCTTATCATTAGGGCTGTGAGAAAGTCCTTCTTGGAAAGGGCTGGAGGAAGAAAACTGGTTTGCAACCAGGGGCAAGTGGTGCTTCACCAGGTCTTGCAGGGCTGGAAGGAAAAGGGATGACTGGGAGGAGCGTGGCTGGGGTACATGGGATGTACCGGTTCCCATTCCTTCACAGACATCTGGTGGGAGCCCAATGGCTTTATTAGGAATACACAAGAACAAGATTTCCTGTGAAATCGGTTTCCTGCTCTTCTGCAGGAAACCTCCATGGGTTTTCCCACAGGGTGACTTGAGGCATGCCCTGGGGCCTCCTTGAACTCATTTTGCAGAGAGATGAGCACCAGATCCATGTGGCCCTTCCTACCCACCCCACCCCACCTCCTCCTCCCAGCTGCAGATTCTTTGTTTCAGGCACCTGGAACAGACCTCTGGAGTTAAATGATGGCTGTTTTGGGGCTGATAAGTTTATGGGTTGCAATGAAAGCTGCAATTAGGGCAATATCCATGTGTTCAAAACCAGTCTAGGCAAACCTTGCGCACTCTGAGGGACCTGAGCCGTGCAGGGTAGTGGATTAATAAAGTCACCTGCAGGACATCAGGAGCTACTTCAACATCCAAGGATTTAGTGAAATGAAGTGATGGAGCAAACCTGCCCTCAGCGTGCTCATTCAGGGATAACTGCTTTTGCCTTGCAGAACTCCTGAGCCCCACAACATCGAGCCGGGGGAAGATTCCAACATGGAGAGACACCAGCTGGACTCAGTTGATCCCAAAGGTGAGTGGGGAGAAGTTTGGTCACTGTGATGTGCATAAAATTATTGTTGGAATGAGAGAGGAATTTATCCAACCATAAGGATGGAAGAAGGAGCTCAGGGTACAGGATAGGCTGTCCAGAAGTGTCTTGAACTTAGACTTTGAAGCACAGTTGTGCTTTGAGGAGTAAATAAGTAGTGTCAGATACCAATGTCCTGCTTTCAGTCCTCCTTAAAAGAAATGTTTAACAAAAGGAAATTTAGAGGAAATGTTTAACAAAATTTCAAAGTGCTTTAGAGGCTCCCAGTCCAAAATACTGGGGGTCCTGTGGCAAACTTGCCAAGAGGAAAAAGTCAAAAAAGGGGTGTGAGAGGGGTATAACAACATTTACTATTGTGTGCTTGATACTTGGAGTTATATTTCTGTCATGGCAGCAAGAAATGTCAAAACCTAAGATGCTGAACCCTTTCTTTCCAAGCAGCCTCCTCCTCTCCTGCCTCTAGAGTGTGGACAACACATCGGGATGGGGAGGTAAAGCTAAGGATGGAAGACCAGGGAATAGGCAGTGAACCACCAAAGACTGTTCACCAGCTCTTCCAGGAAACTGTCAATAAATATGGGGACTATTATGCCCTTGCATCCAAAAAAGGTGGCCAGTGGATCAAACTAACATACAAAATGTACTATGATGAGTGCTGTAAAGCAGCAAAAAGCTTTCTGAAGGTGAGTTTTTGTTGAGCTCTTGTTCATATTCATTGAATCACAGAGTGGTTTGGGTTGGAAGAGACCTTAGAGCTCATCTCATAAAACCTCCTGCCATGGACAGGGACACCTTCCACCAGCCCAGGTTGCTCCAAGCCCCGTCCAACCTGGCCTTGGACACTTGAAGGGATGAGGCAGGCACAGCTTTTCTGGGCAACCTGTGCCAGGGCCCCACCACCCTCACAGGGAAGAATTCCTTCCCAATATCTAATGTAAATCTCTCCTCTTTTTGTTTAAAACTGCTCCCTCTTGTCCTACCACTGTGTAAAGAGTCAGTTTAATGTTCACTCATTTAAGTGCTGGAATGGCTGCAGTTAATTGTATTTTAAACCTGCAAATTCTCTGAGTGTAGATGAGTCTTTCAGTGACAGCGAAGTACCTGAACATGCCATGGGCACCTTGGTACTTCCCACAGGGGTTTTGTCTGAATTTATTGCAAGTTGCTTCCACATTCAACTTCAAAAAAGGCATTTAAGGAAACATATAAAGTGAGGTGTTTGAGGTTTTGAGGCAAACCTGGACATTGCACCTCCAGAGTCTTGGAAATGTTAATCTTTCAAATTCAAAATTTGAAGGGATGCTGGTGAATTAGCCTTAAATGTCCCATCTGGCCCTGCCTTTTGCCTGTGCTGTTGGGATTGAGACAGAGGGAAACCAACACACTATGATACTGTTGTGATGAAGTCTGGCTTCTTCAGGTTATGGTCACCCTGGTCTCATTCCCGTGGTGGGATCTTCCAGTCTGGGACAAAACCCGAGGGAGATTTAAAGACTGGGACTTCTCCAGCTGAAATTTCATCCCAAAATGTCTCTGACTGTCACCGGAGCTTGTTGCTCTTGTCACTGTTGATATCTGATATATCCAACCATATTAAATGTCTCAGGAGGTGTTATCTAACTTCACCTCTTCTCCTTCCAGAGAGAACTGAGAACTCCCTGGATTGCAGGTTTGTATTGGTGTCAGTGAGCCAGGCATTCCAAGCACAGAGCTCCGCAAATCCCTTTTTCCTTCCCACTGATAGCAGGACAGTGCCTGATGTGGAACTTAACTGGTTCCATCCTGGCTCTTGGGAAGTTTTTCAGTGGGAATCACCCTGTCCAACAACACAAACTCTCTCCTCTTCCCTGTGTTTGCAGCAGAGATCTGTAAATTAACTCTGAGCTTTCTTCAAAGGAAAACCAAGAGTGCTGTAATTCCATCTCTTGTTTACAGCTGGGGCTGCAGCGTTTCCATGGAGTGGGCATCCTGGGATTTAATTCTGCTGAGTGGTTCATTGCTGACATTGGAGCAATCCTTGCAGGGTAAGAACAAGTCCTGTCTCTTGCCATGAATTTTGGCACTCAAGTAATTGCAGTATCCCCATGAGAAGCAGGTTTTGATTAGAACCCCCCAACTAAACCAACCACAAGAAAAACCCGAAACCCAATTGTTTGTATTTTAATATAATGAAGGAAACTACAACCTCAACTTAATTCAGAATGAATTAATGAGACAAAAATTATTATTTTTGTTTTTAGTCAAATGCTTCTCTCAAAATAAGATGACCAGTAGGTTAATCCAAAAGATTTCTTATATATACTGTGATTAAAAATATGATGGGAAATGCCAGAGAATCCCAGGGCTGGATTTTGATATCTTCCTTCTGTCTGAGACATTTTGGACCCTTACACCACTCTGACATTTTCCATGCCCCACATCAGAGCCTTTGCTCTTGGAATTAAACCCTCCACTTTTTCTTGTCATATTATGGGATATTCTTCTCAAAGTTTTTCCTCTGAAAAGGTCTGAATTTTGCCAGCAATTCCTTCTTGTCCTCTAATTCTGTGTTTTGCTTTTCTGTTTTGTTTTTTCCCCCTCTTCCCTTGCAGGGGATTTGCTGTTGGGATCTACACAACAAACTCTCCTGAGGCCTGTCACTATGTGGCAGAGAACTGCAGTGCTGATGTTATAGTGGTGGAAAACCAGAAACAGCTGCAGAAAATCTTAGAAGTAATTCTGTTTTTCAGATGTCTGGGGGTTACGGCGTCCTGTTGACAGCTGTGGGAGGGTAAACGCTGTGGGAGGGTAATACCAGAGGGGAGTGCTGGCTCTGAAAGCAGAGGTGAACTGGCTGAGCCTTCTTGGTGCCTGGTGATGGGTTCTCTCTGGTACTGAGTCTCACAAGAGGTGAAGTGGTGGTTTCCCTTCTTAAAGCCTTGAGAAGCCAAAATGAACAATTGAGCAGCCTCTAGGATGTCTGGCAACATCCCAGCTCAAATTATGAGTTTCTAGTGAGGCTTCCCTGTTATTTCAGTAGCAGAGATGGGATTCTCTTGGCTTTACATAAAATGGCAAATAGCAGGAGCATGTCAAGTGGTGGGTTGTGTGGCCTGGAAGGGACAAGCAGGATTTGCTCCTTCTCATGAAACTCCCTTCTTAACACAGATTGAGGATAGACTACCTCAGCTGAAGGCCATTGTCCAGTACGGGGAAGAGATAAAGGAGAAGAGACCAAATCTGTACTCGGTAAGTCCTGGGCATCTTCATGGCTTCTAAGTCCTGGTTGTGTTCAGGTGATGTCTCCAAGTACCTGTCACCTTCCATGGGACCTTAAACATCCCTGCCCGTGGCAGGGGGTGAAATGAGGTGGTCTTTAAGGTCCCTTCCAACCCAAACTAGTGTGGGATTCTGTGGCTGTGATCCCATGAGCTCGTGTTGGCCGTGGTGAGGGATTGCCTGCCCCACTGGGCAGGAGCTGTTGTGCAAACCTGGATAATCCCTGCTCTAAGGAGGGTGTTGGATTACCAACCTCTGCAAGGCAGCCCTGGGTCCCACAGTTACTCCAGTGAGTACCAGGATTGCTACAGAGCTGGAAAGCTGCTCAGGATGGGT